GCATAGTGGCTATCTATTCTGTAAAACCGACAGTACAAATTGTGTACTACAAATTAGGTGTTATCATTTCACCGAAGATTTAAAATATTAATATTTACGGCCAGGTTAGATATAAACACCGGACTATCAGTCACGCATACATTGATAGCAGCGTTGCCGCTTGATCTGATAACAATAACATTACACTTACAACTGCTGACGTATGTACGAGACTGTACGTAATAAAAACTCAATGAAAACATGCTGAGAAAACAATAAGCATTCATTGGTAAATTCTCGAGCTTCGTTGATTGATTAACTTGTGCAAAAACGATTGAGCAAGGTCTTGGTTGGTAAAAGTGTTCTATTAAGATTATAGAGTTTTAATTTTACTAGGTACCTACGTTAGACTGCCTCGTTGGCCGAAGGTTCTCAAGAGCGACTGCCGGGCAAGAGGTTTCGGATTCGAATCCCGGGTCGGGCAAAGTATTGCTGGGTTTTAAAAAAAAACTCAGTATAGTAGCACGGAGTCTGAAGGTGTGACTGGTATATGGCAATAGGCTCACCCCCTAGGTATGAAATTGAAAAGTGGGTGTTATATTGCACATGTACATATTACATATGTTATGAGTCCCATGTAATAGGGAGTGATCTTATTGCCATATACCGAACACTTATCCAGACTCTCGTGCTACTACTGAGTTTTTTTTGAAAACCCAGTATTAATTTGACCCACTCAGGAACCGAACCCGAGACCCCAAGCCTTTCGCACTTGCGACCAGTCGGCCAACGAGGCAGTCGATCAGCAAGCAGAAAATAAATTAAATTACTAAAATTAGTAACTACATAAGTACAGTACATGCTAGACTTTGTTATCAAGATCTTTAATTAGCCAATTATGATAAATACAGTGTTATTATCTGACTGGATTGTTCATATCGTTGCGTCATTTCTAAGTTATCTTCTTTTACTCGTGAAAATTAGTATAATGACCGTTTATCAAGTTTTGTATAGGTATCCTTACTATATTGTGAATCATAGATAGATATAAGAGCTAAGTACTGTATTAATTTGTATTTATTTGATAATATAGAGGTAGACATCGATAAACGCTTAACAATTTCCGGAATACTATAATTTTGTTCTACAGTGCGACATCGAACTGATTTACCTGTAGATCATAAATTCATTATGTGGGTTTTTTCTTTTCAATTTTACCTATTGATTAGATGATAACATCGAATTTGTCATTCAAAAGTAAATCCAATCATTTCATTAATGTTGTGGTAAAAAAATAATCTTTTACGAAATTCACAAAATATTGAAGAAACATAATTATGCTAGCTGGGGCCCGGGCCCATATACATATCATGCTGAATCTGAACTCTGTCTAGGATGCACCAAATCAACAGGTTTGAAAGTTAACTTTGTTTATTATTTTGTAAACTTTAATTCAATTAAGATTACGCTATCATAACACTGACATTATTGTTACCTATTACGCTTTACACAAAATTGTGGGGAATTGTGTGAGTTACATACATATTTATTATTGCTGTTTAATGTAAGACTATACATACATGTAACATTTTTGTATGTAACTGTTTTTATGTCTCATGATAAATAAATAAACCCGGCATGCCACCCGGGCCCACACCAAATCCGGCCCTGACTAAAAAATACAGTAATTGGACTTAAGATCACCAACCTAAAATAAAAGACCTTTTGATCCCTGAAGAGGATACCTACCTCAATTTATTAATACGCTTAAATTAAAGCACATCCTTTTTTTTAGGGGGAAAATCATCCAATGACTTCTCCCGCCCGGGGGTGGTGGGGGGGGGGGGAGTGTCAGACTTTTACTAACTAAAAACCGAGCCGGCGCCCCGGCAACCCGTTAAGTCTTCCGCGGCTCGAGCACATCCTAATATCATATCATGCGCAATCCAAGAATCGAACCAGAGACGCCTTGTAGACAGTCACGTTGATCTAGATCTAGACCATTAACAAAATGCAAAACAAGAAGAAAGTAAAAAAGCTGTAAAAAAATCGTGACTTCGACCCGAAAAGAAAAACCAAATAGCAAATTATGAAATAGTCTTAAAAACATGGTTTCAATCTTAGCTTGACAACAAGTACGGTACGGATATTGTACCTACTGACCTTAATTGCATTTGGTACTTAACTTTACGTGTCGTCATAAGTGGCATGGCTCAGAGGTAAGCTTGCTTCTCTAGCATGAGAGGGCGAGTTCGATACCTAAAACGAATGTGGCTTTTTCAATAAGGTACTACCTACTTACTCTCTCAGGCACAATAATAAGTACCTAGATAGTATTCACCAACGTCTCTTAAGTAACCCCTAAGCTAAAATAAGTAATTAAAATATCGGTGATATTTTGGTATTCACCAACCTATAAAAGACTGCCTCGTTGGCCGAGTGGTCGCAAGTGCGACTGCCGGGCAAGGGGTCTCGGGATCGATTCCCACAATAGTAGCACGGAGTTTGGAATTGTGCCCGGTATATGGCAATAGGTTCACCTCCTATTACATGGGAGTTATAACATAAATAGTGAAAAGTGGATGTTACATTGTACAGTGACATTAAGTGCCGTAATGTGCACTTCTCCACCACTCCTTCGAGGATAAAAGGCGTGATGTTATGTTATAAATGCCTAACTGAACAAGTAAGGGTTAGTTTAGGCGCTTCTTCGCAACCATTTTTAAAGGTGAAAATGCTAACGGCCATACGTAAGTATTACGTATAAGTGCAGTTGCCCTAATAAAGTATACTATAGGTATGCTCCTCCAAAATGTTTTATCGGCCTCATAAATTATAGACATTTTTGTCTGATCGATAACAAATAGGCCGATAAGGATAACGAACCCGTCGCCCATAAACGTGACAATGTAAACTATTGCCAATTTTACTTACTTTTACTTTTACCTGTATTTTGAAGATAACTAGTAACTTATCAGATCATTAGAGCTAAGTTTTTTTTTAAGGGGGAAATCATCGGTTCGTTTCTCCCGCCTGGATGTGCCGGGATGTGTCAGACTCTTACTGGCTAAAAACCACCCTGTTCCTACTCCTGCACTTCAATCCGGAGCCCCGGTAACCCTTTGCGTTCTCCGCGGCTCCGTATCGGCATCAGCCCTATTGGGCCCCATCCGTGGTGGTCTGATGGCTCTTTGATCGGTGAGCCTGAGAGCCTAAGTTAGATGCCTTTGTCAATACAGACTACTAAAAGACTTCAACTAATCGATGAACGGTGCGTCTCCAAGTGACAGTTTATATGTCCTTACAAATTGTAAGTAGGTAGGTACATAATTCCCCGTAAACATTAAATTTATTAATTACGGAATTCCTAAACTAATAAATAATGAAATTAAAAAAGTATTACCAGGTAGGTAATACTTACTTTATTACCTTACCCAATTAACATAATACCTATTACTATTAGCCACTCCTGCGGTTTCATTTGCTGCTCATTTATGAAATTGTTCAAATACCTACTCAGACGCCACTCAATTTTAGGAAGCACATAGCTATAGTTCTATAACTACCTCCAATTCCTTGTAAAATAACAGAAATGGCAGGATATTTAAGTACACGCGGCCACACATCAATCTATACAAAACCAGTTTATCCTGGTGTCGCGTCGCATCATCTTTCCGCACATTTAACGTTCAGTTTATACGGGTTATGTAAAGCTCGATGTGTAGCCGTGTGTATAACTTAAAATATGTAGCCTTTCAGTATTCGGGCGATAGGCTGCAAGCGAATTTATATACAACGGGATGTAGCTTATTGCACAAAAACAATTATTGAAATCGAACCAGTCGTTTCGGAAATTATCGCGATCAAACAAACAAACAAATAAACTCTTTAGCTAACGTTACATATGTATTTAATGATATTATAGAGGTAATATCATTGTATGTATTACTATATAGCTACTTCCGCAAGGTTTCACACGCACTGCTCAGCTCCTATTGATCGTAGTGTGATGTTTTATAGCCTATAGCCATCCTCGATAAATGCGCTATCCAACACAAAAAGAATGATTCAAATCAGACTTGTAGTCACGGAGATTAGCGCGTTCAAACAAACAAACAAAAAAACAAACTCTTCTGCTTTATATAATAAGTATGCCTTTTTGTCATAGATTCTTATATACAACTTTTCGTATCATGAAAGCTCTGAAACTAACCTAGGCACACTTATGAGACCTTGACACTATTATGTATTTTACATATGTATATATAACACCATCTTGTTACTGGCTAGACAAATCATTTACTTTATTTCATTACAGCACTAGCTGTTGCCCGCGACTTCGTCCGCGTAGAATATGGTTCCTGTTTTATCCCATGGAAGCATTTAATCGGGATAAAAAGTCCTGTCACCTAAGCCAGCCCATATCCTGTCTGTATACCAAATTTCATTAAAATCCGTTCAGTAGTTTCAGCGTGATTGACGGACAAACTAAGAAACTATCACAGTTATAATAGAGGTATTAGTGTGGTTAATTACTTATTATTATTATTGTTGCTAATAATAAACAACTCTCATTTTTTCTGCCTACCCCTTCATGAAAATGTAGACGTGATGTTATGTAGGTACTGGCAACAATGATATGAAAGTGGTCGCAACACATTGAATTTCAATATTTTACGGTAAAGTTTACTTTATTCAGTAAACTTTCAACTTCTCTATAAGCTTAAGTTGAAACGCGCTTTACAAAGCTTACATAAAGCGCTTAAAATAAAGCCTTTCTCATTTAATTGAGCTAATTGTCTCTCTGTTACCTAATATGAAAAGTCTTTATACATATTTTGGGAAATAGAACTAGTTTTTACCCGTTTTGAGAAAAAAGATAAATTGTTGACGATTTCTTGAACGTCATTGTAGCCTATCTAATATTAGTCTATACATAACTCAAATCAAGACCAAATAGATAAGCAGAGTACCTATACCTAATAAGAAATAAACACAAGTTACTGAAAACATAAACAAACCTCTAGTTCCTCCAGAAACTTAATTTGCTCGACGTCCCTCGTGTCCTCTTCCTTCGTAATGATCCTCCCGTTCTCACTCACTGCACCGGTCAAGTTCACGTCCTTCAACTGAGCACTGTCCACTTTCAGGTCATTCATCATATGGTACGCACTGTTACTGTGTCCGTACTTGGCCATCACTTGCACTATGGACTTGTCTTTGTAAAACTTGAGAGTGTTGACTCCTCCAGGGTGGTCCCGCATGAAGCGGTCCAGGTCGTATTGTTTCCCATTGAAGTTGACTGAGAACCGCGCGCCGGGCTCTCGAGCGTCCATGGTGGAGCTGTGTGCCGCCGCCCGCACCCGCGAGCAACCTGTACCGACTAACCACGTTATCAGCGACCGTGTCCCGTGTGATACGAGCAGATGTTTCAGCGCCTACTACTGGTGCGTGCAAACTGATTCACGGACGCGCCTTGCTTTGCTACCTCGCCGATTAGTTTAGCATCAGCGCTATAAATGTTCGTAAGAAATTAGTGGCGCGCCTAATGGCCCTGACTATTAACTTGGAATATTGTTGTTTAAGTGTTTGGTGGAATGATTCTAGTTGTAATGTAAGTGGTCCGAGTCTAGTCTATGCATTCGTTTGCGACAGGTCGTGGCTAGTTGTCGACTGCTCTTTCATGAACGTAACATTTGCTTTCACATTTCATGAGAGATAACTGATTTGGTTGAAGGTAATCACGGTCACGAAGTTATTGTGTTCAATATATCTATTTTTTAACTAACTACAACTATAAGTAAAGTTCATGTCTAAGAACGTGATTACATAGAAATAAGCTGAACTTGAGAGAGCTAATTCACTATATCGATCTTTCAATATGTCTCAGATTACTTATAGCTACTGATAGACACAATTTACAAGAGAGAGAGGGTAATATTTATCACGCATGCAAATAGTTATCTAATGAAATAAAATCGATTTGTTATGACTCCACCCTTAAAATCTTTATTGACATGCCTATACGTATAAATAAGCCGATTATCATTAACAATATCTTTATAATTTATATTGATTAAACTATTTAAAGACTATGTATTCATTCAATTAATGAATCACTTGATAGACTATTAAATTATAAACCTATCGACTATTTTATTGGAAAAATAATGATAAGCATAAGTAGGTACGACTGCCGACACTGCCGTTGAAGTAGGGTAATCCCAGGGGTAGTTTAACGGGGTATTTTGAAAATCTGAATTCTAAGTACCTAGTCGCACAGAATCTGTAAAATTATGATCGATATTAGGACTTTAGGTTAGTTCCTCTATAATAATCTTATTGGGACTACCTACGTGATAGATTAATATCAGACTACATGAGTGGAGTAGGTGAGAATAAAAATACAAATAAAGATTACCTAGGTACCTATAATTCTTTGCACCACTGTGGGGGCTCCAGAGCTGGTCTCTTTTAGAGGACCCGGTGCCTCCATACAGGTGTTGAGGGTGGCCACCGAGGTGGATTTAGTGAGGTAAAAATCCCAAACTCCCTAGTCTTTTATCCCCAAAAAGGTAGGCGCCATTGGAAGGTTTTTCCCCGTCATCAAAAAGAAAAAAAGTACCTACATTTCTGTGGTTTCTGCCTATAATTTCAACGAACTACCATCGTAATAGTTCACATTCACATCAATGGCTTTTTAATCAGCCAATGAAATATGATGTTAATAGATCAAAAACAGAACTAGGTAGTAGGTGTTATTCACGGCCAGATTGCAGGAACACTCGGAGGTGTCGAGGGGCGCGCCCGTTGATAAGCTCCCTCATTATTTTAAGAGCACCTCAGTTCCGAAAGTGTCGGACTACAAAAAACAATACGAAACAATCTCTCTTGATAAGTAGGTATTGTGTTACAAATATACCTACCTACCTAGTGCATCTAGATACCTAAGTAGGTACTTGTACCTAATTGTTATTTGGGGCAGTGGTTGCCGTGGTTGAAAAGTGTACGGATCTTAGTATCTAGTAAAAGCTACTTCATCATCAAAGAAATAGCACGGATAAACTTTGCTTTCTTACAACGTCATATTTGAATGGATATCTAATTCAAGACTTAGGTCAACTCTCACGCACAAGACATTCACCCGTATATTACCTAATAAACACAATATATATACGTATGTATAACAACAACAAGGAACCACGTTATAGCTATTTTGTATGTTGTAGCAATACAGGCAGCAGGTACTACTTACATGCGGTCATAACCTGCCTATATATATATTTTATAAACTTTAATGTACACAAAACAATAAAATAATGGTACTTTACGTCGAGTGAATTATACCTATAATATTTATAATGTGTTACTGTAAAAGCCTGTATGCTGGTTATTCGACAATTGAACATAGGACAAGCCTTCTATATTCCTTTTATTGAAGTATAGCTAATACCGTCCAGACAACGGAGTCCCCGCGACTTTGGGGGCAAACCCGCCACATCCTCCCAAAACCGCTGCAACTCCTGTAAGCCAGGATCTAAAGTAGATACAACTATAAAAACACCGGCGGCGGCGCAAAAGCGGTTGATTGTATAACATATTTTTTTAAAAGAGGAACGAATTGTGTTTCTTTCTCGTTCTTCTCCATTCGAATCTACATTTTGTAATGACCACCTAGCTTCCTGACGGGCAAACTGACAGACTATTATTTATTTTGTATTTTTTGACGCTTCAAACGTACGAATTTATGGTTTAATTGAAATAAATGCTTTGACTTTGACTTTGGTTACTACCGCCTAGCTACTCTAAATGCCTGATTTGTTCCGACTGTAGGTAACTCGTAATAGACTTATTAGTAGAGTTGGTAGATCTCAGTAAATTACTGGAAAAAATTTAGGATTGACATTTACTGTTCAGGCTTTTACCGTAACATAAATGAAAAATATTATTATCAATATCACGCCCGTTACACACAAGATTACAAAAAGAACGTGTGTTGGTACTATAGGTATATAGATTAACACAGGTAGGTACTCGGTAATACTTATAATAATATGTAAACAGAGCTAATTTTCCTATCAGCCACAATTTCTAACGGAATACCCACCATACCAAGCCAGTTCATCATCATCATCATCATCATTATCAGTTTGTAACTCTGCCACTGCCCACTGCCACGTTTCCTCTCGATATACAGGTTTGAAGAGCAGGAGTAGAGAACGGGTATTTAGTCAGTTAGAGTCTGACCTAAGGCGGGAGAAGTCATGGAAGATTTTCCACCCGCAAAACGAAACGGTTTTCTCTCGATATTTTCCTATTTCGTATGTCAGTAAACTCACCGTACACCAATGTCAATGCACACACACAATTTTGCAGTAAGATAAAACAATCCCTTGGACCCAAACCAATGAAGATTTCCCACACCTACCTAATCTAAGAAAATACCTATAAATTCGATACCTGTAGCTGTAGCCTGAAGCCCTGCTCTAGCTGTATGTAGGTAATAAATTGAACAGCTGAAGTTAAACCAAGATACGAACTAAGTTATTAAATATTATCTCCGAGTTCATTCGAGTGTCCATAGTACCTACGTGGCTGTAAATAATAAATACTTTTGATTGCACTGAAGTGATGGGCGATGGTTGCACTGCACCGTCACACGGTGTCTCAGCCTCAGCCTTGGCCATGTCATCAATAATTCACGTCTTCCTCTATACATTTCCAGGCCATTATGTCTAGCTATCAATTTTGTATTCAATATTTATTGAAACACTAATAACTTAATTTCTTTGCATCAATAAGTTTTTCACCTATGTTTGGGGAGTCGTGAGTGTGTTTACAAACAAATAGTATACATAAGATATACGCAAGCTTCAGAAGTGGTGTCAGAGAGTGCCTGGACACTAAATATCTTGAGAAGGGTAAAGTTTGGGATATACCTTAGTCAAATCGGTCAGGAACAATGAATACTACCACCTTTAAAAGGATTTAGGTCTGCTTTACCTGTAACCCTGTATATCCCATCCTCTTGTAAAGAAGTTGGAAAGGTGGATACCTACCTATTAGGCATAGCTCCCAGTGTATCATCAATATTAGTTGTCCTGACTTCACTTGTAAATGAAATTACATACATCGCGTTTTTATTATAGGATGTGAAAGTATCTATTCATCAATACAAGTTTCTTTTACTAAGGGAAGAATTCGGGATTTGAAACAATGAATTCTAATGAACTTATTGAAACTAATTGCCTAATTATCTCATCATGAAATGGCGAATAACCACAAGTAAGTAACACGTAAAGACACACGATTTTATATATTGAGTTAGGGATTTCTTGGTGGTTAACAGTCGATATAGAAATTCCGAATGTAGTGTGCAGTGAAGAACACTGGGATGATATCTTCCAACTTAGAGACTCAATTTCAATCGACTGTACCAAAGTATAAACGAAAGATTCTGGGCATATTTTACGTTGCACACTACCGTAATATAGTCTAGTTTACATAGCTAAAACTCAAATCTCCTCACCTAATTTTTCTTCAGCACTACACATTATTTTTAAAAATAACGGTCGTTTTAGGCGGTAAAATCACGTCAACTGACTTTGACGTGTGGTTATCATGACATGTAGGTATTACTCTGAAAAGTGTCGCCATTTAAAGAAGTTTTTTGAAATGTTACGATTGCGTAGAAAAATATAAGGTAATGGGTACATTGCATTCGTTTTAAGCATATAAAAATAAAACACGATTTACTGCAATCTGAGGCGTGGGAAGTACATTCAGCTCCCAGCGTTAAGATTAAGGGTTAAGATTTATTACGAGTTACTGGTCCAAGGAGAACGTTCTACCTACTTGTTATACCTAACGTAATGTCTAAAGTGGTGATGAAATCGACACACTTAGGTAGGTATGGTCACTATGATTACATGATTTTATAAAATGACTAATATGTACCTAATTGCTAAGCTTCTGTATCTACAACAGTTTCCGGATTCCTCCAATAGTCATGACTAAGTACCTAGGTAACATAATATTACTGATAATGTCCTTATTTATCAAACAACAGGTGTCTAGCGTCTACATCAAAGTTGCATACCTAATCAATAATCATACACTCGCGTCAATAATGCGGTAAAATTAACAAAGTCTAAATACCTGCAGGTTTCTATAGGTACCTAATTGAATTGATACGGAGCAAACTACCTAAACGTGCTGTGAAAGGCTATGAATCTGATGGTCGTGTAATGAAGTCGCTACGTGTCGTCGTACTGTAAGCGATCAGGGATAATTCTACTTAGAGATCGGCTTGGTTGGTGGACATTGTAATTGGGAGAAAGCATGGACCCTTGAGGTACACCTAACATAATCATTAATTTTTTGACTTAAAACGGGACATTCGTTTATTTAAATTGAGTCAGGCATCTGGTAGCTAGATCCTATTATAGACAGGTCTCTTCAGAGGACCCGGTGCCCCTGTCAGGTGCTGAGGCCACCGGAGTGGTTTTAGTGAGGTAAAAATCCACACTCCCTTGTCTTTCTCCCCAGATAGCTTCTATTATAGAACCTGTAAACACAAACTTTGTGCCCACAATAAAAAGGTTAACAAAATGTAGATACTTAAAGATTTTCGACTGTAATCCGTCAAAAATTTGCAAGTTATGTTTACCGCTGTGTCACTCTCGCACGCCATTCGAGCCGTCCGAACGGTCGTCGCATAGGTTCGACTATTCAAATTTTCGTGTGGTTTCCGAAAACGGGACAATTTAGCGTCCCAGAATTCGTTTCGGGGACAACGGGACTCGTAATTGTATAAAGGGACAGTCCCGTTCAAAACTGGACGTCTGGTATCATCGCATCGCGTTCCGCGCGCGCCTCAAAGAGCCATCAGACTACACAGATAAGGCCCAATAGGGCTGATATCGATACTGAGCCGCGGAGGACTTAACGGGTCGCCGGGGTTCCGGCTCAAAGTGCAGGAGTAGGAAGGGGTGGTTTTTAGTCAGTACGAGTCTGGCACTCCCTCTCGCCTCGCCCGGGCGGGAGAAGTCATTCGATGACTTTCCCCCATAAAAAAACAGGCGACATTAGTTTTAGCCAAAAACAAAGGTGGTTGGATGGTTATATGGAGGACGAGACTCCTGCTGTGCTCTTGCCTGCTGGTTAATGTAGCATTAAGCAGAAAAAACGGGAAACTGCCTTCAAAAGCTGTTAACAACCAAATAAATGCTACTGTCTGTACAGTGTACATACAATATCTAACAACGAGATTAGGATACTAAACCACAGATTATACATCTTGAACAAATAAAAACACAATGTTGTTTATGTAATATTATATTAATATTGTTTTCGTAATAAAATAAACTGCTTATTTCCTAGGCTCGTCTTGTGAGGTCAACAAAGCGAATTTGTCGTATGTCAGATTACTTGCCACAGTACAATGTTTCTATTTATCAGTCTTAAAATGTCTTACATATTGTGTAACAGCAGTAGGTACATGGGCTGGTACATCCATTACAGATTAATAATTATATTCATGATACACACCTATTTTTTTTTTCGTAAGTATGGTACTTTAATATTAGACAATACCTAAGTATTTTTATTAAGTTTCAGTTCATTGTTTTGCTGCGTGTATAAATATTGAAATTCATAATTTTGTAGTGTTATTAGGTTATTACAGTGCCTTTATTTAGCTATCTCACAACAGAAAGTAATATATTAATTTGTTTAACCTAATTCATCATAATTTATCATCATTACTTTTAGATGCTACAGAATAATATTTAACAGGTGTAAAATTAAAGCTACAACTATCACAACTATCTGACTTAGAATAAGAATTTTGCATAAAAAACATGCAAGCATTTGTATACAACCCTTTCTTTTTTAATTCCACAATTTGTGACAACACTGATTCAGAACAGTTTTTTAAAAGTGGAACCATTTTTTGGTAGTCAAAGGATTTGAATGGACAACCTCCTTCGGAGCATGAATTGTCTATGCTTTGTATAGTGCTGCAGTTGACTGAGGGGTAGATTCTCCTAGATCCTTCTAACCCATACATGTGTCTAATACCGTAGACATATTTTTTCTCATCTTTTTCCCAGTTATGACAACAACTGTGGTGCCCGTTTGGGTGTAGCCGGTACTCTGCTCTCCAGAACTCTACAGACTCTGCTATTGGCATGCCAATATCTTTTAAAAATAAACTGTAATGAAACCTCTGTGTATGGGATAGTCTATGCCTTCTTCTGAGATTTTGGTGAAGGTTTAGCATGCATGGAGGGAAAAACTGGGATGCGGAGTCCACATCCCTACTTAATAATACATTAGGTTTGACTTTAGATAAATTATAGTCTTTCTTTATTTTGTGTAGGAGCTCCATAATTCTTGCATCACTCTTCAATGGTGCTACATCAGTGTTGTTGATTCTGTTGATTAAAATTTCTCTAAAAAGAGTAATAAAATATTGTAACCATCTCCCACAAGGTATAGTTGCCACTCCATTTGTGAGTTCAACTTGTCTCCTAGCTACAAGGCGAAGGCATTGTTTGAAGTTCAAGTGTATACTGTGTGCTGTACAGGCACTATTGTGTACTGAACAAATATGTTGAGCCATTTCCTTCAGCATTAAATGTTGACATAGTATTTGCACAGATTCAATGAGTTTCGGTACTTTGTCCAGCTTTTTAATACTTCTGAGTATTTTTTTAGCAAAAGATCTCAGTTCATACGCAGATAAAGATGTTAAACGGCGCCTGAACAGCTCTAACTCCGATTTCAAAATATATTCCGTAAACTCTCTGTCTTCACATAAAATTAGTATCACGCATAATGTGAAGTGTCCTACGTTATCGTATATGCTTCCGTCTACAACATATTCGTTGTATATTGTGGGTTTATCACTCAAAATTGTTTTTAAATATTCCAGTCTATTCAATAGAATAACTTCTAATAAATGTACAGGTAAGTCACCTTTTACTGGCGTTAAATAGAAGAATGACATCTTATATTTAATTGCCTATAACATTTTTGGTTCGTATTGCAATATAATTTAATTTAAATAATACTTTTTACGTTTTATACGACTTTTAATCAACATTCTTGTTTACTTTTGTGACAAATGTCAAAATTGTCAATGTCAGTTTACAAAGGATTAGGGTTCCCAAGTAGAAAATGTTTGTGTGGATCTTTTAGTCGAATACTGATTGAAAGGTTTTATTGTCCCAGAAGAAATACTATTAAAGAACTATATTTGTAATTTTCATAAACATTTTCTTGTAAGGTGAGATATTAATCAAGAAAATTACAATAGTTTTCAACAGTATGCTGGAATAATCTGATAGTATCCTCATAAACCTACTGTTTAAATTCTATTGACCTACTTATCTTATGAAATTTACTGCAACATTATTTTGCTTATTGATTTATCAGGTTAAGTAAAATAATTAATTTCAGCAACGTAGTCGTGAAAAAAAATCAAAAAATAAACAATCCAAACATAACCAAAAAAGGTGTAACCTAGAAGATTATAATAGTAAGCTAATCCGGTTGCACCACTACAAATGTCAAAAAAGTGAAGCCTCGTACTCAGATTTGTATGATGCTCTTTATTTTCGGAAATACTAATTGAAATCAATGCAATTGAGATTATTGGATTAATTTAAATTGATCTTCGTGCACATTGCAACGTTTAGTGTGTAGTTGTTTATAGTGAATGTGTTTGAATTGACCGTATTGGGATGTGCGTTGTTTATCTGACATGTACCTATGTCGGAATTTCCTAAATAGACTATAGTCAGAATTTTAATTAGATTCCAGATTTGACAATAGCTACTGTCATTTTGTGAAATAATGATACCACATGTAATAGTGTAGTGATGAACACAAAAATCGATAAACAATCAGTGTGTGTGTTTTATAATAAATGTTACAGAAAGTGACAGGATAGCGATAGCGATGACGGCGACCATTTATAAAATAACTTATTACCATAATACGTCTATCTGTTTTATTTGTCATGTTCCTTCATGATTACATTTATTAATTTATTTTACACACAATTATAAAAGAAAAGTCTCATATCGTTCATTAATCTTCAAAACTAAATTATCGGTTCGGAAATATTTAATTTCCTGATATACTTAGTTTACGAGAGTAAAATTATAAACGAGAAGAATCGATCCAGAAATATTGCATTTTCATATCGAATAATTTCGCAACGTCACTATTTAGTACTTGTCATAACGTTGCAACACTGAAATTGTCAAATCTGGAATCGGATTAAAATTCCGAGTATAGACGTTTGATGTCGGGGCCGCGTATAAAAATAACATTGGATTGTCGCGTCGGGTCCGGAGGGCTGTACCCGCCTGTGCCATGGTTCTGATGATGGCTCCGAAGATATTGTACCTGACCGCGGTGGTGATGTTAGGTAAGCCCCTCTCTATTTATCATTCTATTCACAAAGCTAATGTTTGCACTTTGATAAGATACAAATTTTGTGATTTGATGTTTCTGTTGCAAAAAACTCTGTTGTTTATTATAAAACATGGTTTTTGTAATGATCCATTGTTTTAGTCAGGTTGTTGACAAATATTGTATTTACACTATCATTGTTTGGTTACACTACAATTAACTACTACATATTTTGTAACTTTTTGTCAACATGTAACAAGAACCTTAAATAAGTGTAAGTTCATCAACTTTTTTGCATAATAAGTATAACATAATTAAATATGAAAATAAGCATGTACAAGTATTTTCATTTATGAATGTGAATAGTTGCACATGTTTGACCTTTGATAAACACTTCATGATACAGTAATTCATAATAGTTTTAGACATTATAATAGTTTTCTATAGATATTGGAAAATCCTTAACATTATTGCAAGTAAATAATTTCATTTCAATATTTGTATAATAAGTTAGTTTCAATGGTATTTTTTACCTGACTTTAAAAAAGGAAGAGGTTATTAAACTTGCTAACTAAATTGTATATTGTTTGTATGTATATATGTACATGTAATATCGGATATATATATTATTCTATTCTCAATTTTTCACACACACACACACACACACATATTCAGCTAAATTTATATTATTTATACAATTTCATGTTTATTTTCTGTCTTCATTGAGGGGCGGCACCGCCGTCCGTGAGTCACTGCAGGGTGCCACCTGAAAACCAGCGTTGGTCACAAACGTCCAACTATATGCTGAGGTGGAGGCCCTTTTGGCATTAGCACGCGCAAATTAAAATTAATATTATTATTTTGTTATATTGTGATGTTTTGATATATTGTCTGTTCTAATCTCTATTCTTGTAAGTTTATTATTAGTATTTTGTTTACATATGTATTTTTATTTTTTTATATTCTTTGTTTTCTGTGCGTGTAATTGTCAAATAAATGTTTTTTCTTTCTTCTTCTTTCTTTCTATATTATTTAAAAATGGGTTAAGTATTATTTTAAGTATGGTATATTGACAAATGGGTTAATTATCTCAGTTAATAGCATACAACCCAAAGCTGTAATTAACTTACTGACTTTCCATGTGTTACTTTCTATGTTTATCTTATTTTCTACTCATTAACATATTTATGGCAGGGTAGGTTACCAGTGACCGATGTCAGTGACCTATAAATCTAAAGAATTTGCCTTGACCTATATTAGTAAACAGTTGTCTATTGGTAGTCAAAGACATTAGTTGTATCATTATTTTTTTATTAGATTTGTCCACTTTTCTGTGGGATGAGGAGTATATGTATTCTAGACCATAATCTCTCCCTGTTCTAAATTTCATCCTAATCCCTTAAGCCATTATGATGTGAAGAAGTGACAAACAAATATACATACTTAGGCATTTATAATATTAACTCGTTGAGTACCGGTTTTGTAGACACAATTATAGAACAATAGGTTGCGGTCACCGGTGACCGCTTGGTGTTTGACAGTTTAAGTGGTAGTACTAACTAAAAATTGTGGGGTACTTACGTGAATATAGTGAGAAAAGCTCTATTAGTTTTGAGTTATTAGTTATATAGTTATTAGTTACATACATAGGATTGCTATCATTCTACACAAACTTAAAACCATTAACCAACCACAAATTCTATGTTCAAAATAATTATTGTATCTGTACTTACTATATATTTATTATTATAATTATTATATCCCTATTGATGGTGGCAAAACATAAAATCTAAGGTGATTAAAAAGTTCACCCTATGAAGTTAAATAGTCTTCCTTAAATTTTTTAGTATAATTTTATTTCCCTATTATAAACTCTTCACATAACTAACTAGAATGTAATAAAATTTTACTGTACAATGGATGTAAATAACAGATTATAAATTATCTAGACATTGTAACTATTTGTTTCTAGATTATTGGACTAAATTGAGATTAATCATATTTGCTAGGATTACATTTTCTGATTACTATTATAGTAACACTGTAACATGTGTGAGAGCATTACTCGTACAATGACCTTCATTTATTTTGATGCCCACCTTTTATACATTATGTGTGTATTTTAATAATAGCTTTGTATAGTAAAAGAATATCACCAGACCAGACATGAAATGTTAAAATTTACCCCATTGTAGTGCAAGATAAATGCAAACACACTTCCGTGGTTATAATATTAGGAAGATATTCAATTTAGTTATATTGTAAATGCAAGGCTCAAATTTAATGCTGATTTAAAAAAAAACATTGCCTCACACTATTGTTTTATTCTGTGTCGTGGATGCATTTACAAACATACAAGTTCACATACACATGACACCCAGACCCGGAACAACGATCTGTGGAACACCCAGAGTTGTTCCGTGCGGAAATCGAACCCGCGACACGTTGCGCGGCAGTCAGTTGCCCAACCACCACGCCAACCGTGCAGTCGATTTACCTGCTTAGAATGATTTAAAATGCTATGTTAACATTTACCAATTTTATTAGGTAAACAGAATTGAAATAATACATAGCATAGTAGACAGTGATTTCTATGACATTGAATTCATAAAATAATTGCTCAATTTTAATTTTTCTGAAAATCAGCACTAAACTATGTCATCAAGTAACACAGGAATGTGCACTTTATAGTAAGTAGTATAAACAACATTCATAGTTGTTTACTAAATGAACAAATGATATTTTCAAATTAAATTAAAACATTGAGTTTATCAACTATGAATGAAATTCTGACCTGCTTTAAAATACTACAGAAATCAATTCCCTTTGTTCAGTCATAGTCAGTTCATACATAGTCTTTAACGAAAATTAGTAATGACTAAATATGTTGTTGAAGGTACACAAGTGACGTCACTAACAGCAGCCCCGCCCTCTGACGGGAATTTCCCACCGCGGCCGAAAGAAGGCCGAGTCACCACGAGGTACTGTGAGTTCTACAATGGCTCACAAACTTCTACTTGCGACACTGCCAATAATTCCACATGTGTCCCTAATGTTATTAAAGAAGAGTGCCAACCCGTCGAAGCAGACAAAAGTAATCATTGCTTCGTGTTGTGGCAGTTCGACAATGAAACCAACAAGACGTATCTGAAGGTGAAAGGGTGTTTCGTGGACACTGTCTCCTGCACAGACAGGGCCTCCAACTGCCGGCTCCACAACTCCAAGCTGCCGCTCCTCCACTGCTGCTGTGAAGGAGACATGTGCAATCAGAATGCAGTGTTCCCTGGTATAGAGGCTGGCATGTCAGCTCAAACTGAAATACCACCCGAGAGAGTACCCGCCTCAGCAGTACCCAACGCTGATGACGATACACAAGCAGTGATAGCTTACACTCTAACACCACTGTTCCTCTTGTTCGCGATCCTAGTCGGCTGTTATCTGCTGTACAGAAAGCGCAAAGGAACGTCATTTGCTGAGCTAGCTAATGGAGAAGCGTCATTATCGAGACCACCGTCGGCCGGCGCTGGAATGGAAAACGAGGCTGTCGGACTAGTGGGCCAGGTCACGCTCTGCGAGGTCAGAGCTCGCGGCCGATTCGGAGCCGTGTGGAGAGCGAAACTTGGACAACGAGACGTCGCAGTGAAAGTGTTCCCCTTGCAAGACAAACAATCGTGGCTCGCTGAGCAGGAGATCTTCAGGCTGGCGAGGATGGATCACCCAGACATCCTACATTACATCGGCGTAGACAAGAAGGGCGACAACCTACAGGCTGAATATTGGCTCGTCACAGCTTACCATGAGAAGGTAAGTTTTGCATAACTACATGACATACCTTAAACAGTACTTGTTTTAATATACATGGGTAATCACAACTATGAAATGTGTTCATTACATGTGTAGGAAATGTTATTGTAGACCTTTCAATACAATCTCTTTTGTAAAAATGTTACATAAGTGTCGACACAAAACGAGTAAGTTAAAAATATCCGTCTGCATCTTGATAGATCGATATGTCAGAAGCACGAAAGAATTTCCTGACAGGTTCTACAAGTCGAAACTATATTTAGAATGACGAATGAGTAATAAAGCTGCTAAGTTCTCTTATGTATTCTGAACGTAACCTATCAATTATGTACAATGTGTATTACAATGATGCTGTTTCGTCACCAGGGTTCTCTATGCGACTATCTAAAAGGTCACACGTTAACTTGGGTGGAAGCTTGGCGTATAGCGGCGTGCGTGGCACGTGGGCTCGCTCATCTGCATGAAGAGGGAGGCGGGAAGCCGGCCGTCGCTCACCGAGACTTCAAATCTAAGAACGTTCTCCTGAAAGCTGACTTAAGTGCTTGTATTGCGGACTTTGGACTGGCATTAATATTCGTGGCTGGACGAGGATGTGGTGATGCACATGGACAGGTTGGAACTCGACGGTATATGGCGCCGGAGGTACTGGACGGAGCTATCAACTTCACAAAGGACGCCTTCCTAAGGATAGACATGTATGCCTGCGCGCTAGTGCTGTGGGAGATCGCGTCAAGGTGAGCTCATTGTGCAATCTCACTTAATTTGCAGATTCACTTAAGATTCGGATGCAAGGTTGTATTGCTCAGACTTGTATATTAATACTATATTTAGCTCCATGTTGCTGTATCATAATAAACTAATGAATTATGAAAGTTTTAATTATCTAGGCGTAAAAATAAATGTTACGAGTTGCGTGTACATGCGACGAGTTGGCGCCTCTTAATCGGTGCAATATTTTATCAGTAGACTCATCAGTTTTCTAACATAGGCAACCGGAAATAACTCGACCTATATGAGATTTATTGGTTACCTTCGTTTTACAGTCCAAACCAGAAATATGTGCCTTGACCTGTCGCAAAATCGAATAAAAGTCTATTAATAGTTAACCGAGTGGAACCTATTTCCAATGAATTTATTATTCGCTGAACTTTCTGGAACTCTTTTGGAAGCAGAACTAAGTTTAGAATCACTGCATTTATGTTATTGGGTCAAATTCATCACTTGTGAAGTGAGTGAACTAATATTTTTACGTCACGTAATTTTGTTAATTTGAAACGGTCTAGTAACACGCGCTAAAAAAAGTGAATCAAATCACTTGGACAAATTATAAGCTCCACGATTAAACATTGTAGATGCAGCGACGCAGCCCCAGAATTACCAGGACAGTACCGTCTGCCGCTCGAAGAAGAAGTGGGTTCACATCCCAGTCTTGAAGAAATGCAGGAAGCCGTGGTACAGAGGAAACTCAGGCCACATATACCACCGCACTGGCGTAATCATCCCGTAAGTTATTTTTTTTTATCATGCAGGTGGCACATTTTCCATAATGGTTTAGAAACAATCAGTTTCTTTATTATTATTTTCTGTGCTACACAATAAGCAATAAATTAAGATGTGATTTCAATAATAAATTAATAAATTGCTTTATTAGTTTAGTGTTTAACAGTTTTCCTTTCTTCTTTAGTAGGTAAATTATTTTTAATTTTATGCTACCCATTTATTTAGAAAATTGACGCGTAATTTCATTTCGCGTATTCAATTTTCTGAACATACTTTTGTACTCTCTCTAAAACTAGTAGAACAGGCAATAGCATAACATGAATCTGTTTCTCCAGGGTCTATCAGTACTATGCGACACAATGGAAGAATGCTGGGACCACGACGCGGAGGCTCGGCTGTCCGCGTCGTGTGTCCTGGAGCGGGTCTGTGCCCAGCAGCCCGCGACGATGGCGCCGGCGCTGACCCCGGACACGACGCCCCTCCTCATCCACGAGCTCGCAGACCAGCAGCCCTGCTGACGTCACACCTACGTCGAACTGCCGCTCATACAGTTCTGAACAACATACTAGGTACAGACAACAATCGTTTAGTTAGTTAAAGTGAATATTTTTTTATCCTTCGCTGTACCTACAAGTGTTGCAAGGTTTGCTGTGACCGGTGTGTTAAAGGTAAAGTACAAATATTATGATGTGGACAATCAATTATACATTCTACTATGTATTATTGTAGCTGATGGTGTTTCAAGGTGGTATCGCAATATTCTAAGGGTCTTATAGAGTTGTCCTTTATTTCATTTTTTCATCTTTATAAGGGTGGTAACATTGACAATATATTGTAAAACATGGCTATAAAAATGCTTATATTAATCGTTCAGTCCAATTTTAAAATTGTTATGATTGTTAAAATACTTTTGGTATTGTATTTTTTTTGTTATTTGTAGTATAGCCTAATTTTACAGTACCACCTGAAACTATATTCCATATACACACAACCTAGTTTAATAAAAGTATTATAATATTTCAAATCATTTGGATGTACATCAATGAATTCAATACCACTGTGTGTGTGTATGTGTAATGCAGTTTCTTCATCATTTATTTATACGACATTAATGTGAAATAATCAATTGACTTCGAACCTTATTTTAGATATATTTTTTTTTTATATTGGCAGCACCGATAACTATTACATCAGCTAAAACCACAGGGGTAAACGAATCTAAACATTGTAAACGTTTTACGATTATTTAAAAAAATATTTTGTTTTGGAATCAATTTACTAATGCGCACAATATATTTGAATGGCACATCAATTAACGAAGCACATAGTCCAATAATATGTTCTGCGATAATTTAATTTGGGCACAAAGCAATAGGAATTGAAATGAAATCGAAAGTCACTACTAGTGTTACGTAATTGTATCCGAAACCCTGTTCCGCCTTGTAGACTCCTAGACATCTAGTCCTTAGCTAAACGACTGGTAATTTGTACTCGTGTCGCAATCTTGCGTCATAAAAAAAGAAAAACGCATATTAGACTGCCACAAAACCTGTTTAAAATGAAACTAGAAAATTTCTATATTAATAATGCGACACGATTCACTAAATTATGTTCGTTTGGCTCCTTTAAAAGCCGAACGACGAATCTACAAGTAAAATATAGAAAACGTTTAAACAAATAGCTGTGTTTAAATTCAACTTCGGTTCACAGATTGAACCAGACTAGCTGACTAGTATAAACGACAACGACCCTTTTTCCGAAGCAACTGTAATAACTCATCTCTAAATGCTATTCTCGTAGCGATCGGGTCGATTCCAAAATTAGAACGCGTCCTTTTTAATGATCTATGAGATTCCGACATGCCTAATTAAGGGCAGCTCGCCTTTGAATATTTAAAAGGGTAAAGAAATTACGACAGGATATGCGAATACTTTATATGTACACCATACATGATGGGTCAATTGAAAAAAGTAGCAACATTTGGGGTTAAAATGTCCTATATAAAGTCCCGCGTCCGAAATATCTGCAAGGCACGTTGTTCTAAGCGTACCAACAAGTACAATCTATTAGAGCGAGTAGACCCAGGCTAGACATTAAATTGGTTGCCACACAAACAACTTACTGAGTTATTCATAAGCATCCTTCGTAAACATCCTACCACGATCTAATGTATGGTAATTGTCGTTCGCGCTCCCTTTCCTTAACCGTTGGGACTTCCTGGCACTTGATACGTCGTACCACGTTAGCGGCGCAGTAACATAATGTTCCTGATAAATAGGATTATATCAAACTATTATCTGTTAAATAGATTATCTGAAGGTATATGATAAGGGCCTGCTTTCAAAGTTGCAATTTGATCAATGCAAGCAAAATAACTTCAATATTTTTGTTTACAAAGTGCCCAGACAGGCCCTAAAACCATCGTATTTATCGGACATCGATGAACTCCTGATAATGTAAATATTTATCAACATTATTTTTTATAATTTCGACTAGTAATCTCGATCTTATTTATTTGATCATAAAGTCGATGTTTGTTTATACAATAATTTTTTTCTTTAGTAAATTCGGTCTAAGTACTAACAAAATTGAAGCTTAACCAGGCTACGCTATTATTTAATACTCGTGTTATATTTTATTTTAGTAACAATATTGTTATATTCGTGTTTTATTTTTAGAAACTTTTTTAATGTTATGAGGTCCCTAATGTGTGTAGATGAAATCGAACATTAATATTTTTGGTTGGTTAACATGGAGCAATTTAGGTACGTAAGTTTAAGAAAATTATTTGTAGCCTGTGTGAAGGAAGTGTTTAGTCTACAAGATAAGTGATTGCAATGAGCAGAATATAAATTGCCCCGTGTTAATGATATTTACGGTACAGCACTGCACTGCCAGAACAAAATGCTATCCCTATATAACGGAATTGATACGAGTATAAAGTAATTAAGTAATCTTGCCGGACTCACACAGGGACCTCTTATTTAGTAAGACTGGTATTATTTGTATAATTGGCTTTATTTACTTAGTTTATTGGCTCATGATTTGTGAGACGTTCTAAAGTGCTAAATTATAATGTGAAATTGAAGCAATGAAATTAGTGTTAGTATTCGCATAAGTGGATGTCATTTGCTAAGTTTAATTTTAATGTTACTTAGCGCTAATCAGTCTTAGGTCGTGCGTCTGTTGAGGATTATCATTTACACGCCTAGTTTTGATAAAATGGAAAGTTAAAGTGTAAATATAAATTCGATAATCGATTGGCTATTGGAGGGCTCGTGGCGCCACGAGTCATTGCTGGAATAACATTGAATTGAATAATAAATTATGTAGATTGGACTTAATGCGTGACTTGATCGTGTGAGTGATAAATCTTAATAGGAGCTAGTCGTAATATCATTGCGAATGTAAGTATACAGTACACGTTGTGCCATAGACTGGACTGGTTATGCTAACTGCACATAGTCAAGTTTTCAAGGAGAAACTCAAGCTTACAAAGTAATCTCCGTCGGAAACAAGTTGAAAATGTCGATGAACGCACTTTATATGTAAAAATAAAACTGTGATTTTGTTCTCTTATGCCACTTCGTTGACAAATTCGGCCGAGTGACGCAAGAGAACAGACCCCTGAAAAAATATCATTGAAAATATTGTGATTTTAGAACATAATAATTGAAATATCAAAATGGGAAATCATAGAGAATTTGATTTACCTATGCCGTGTGCATATCACCACACATAGACTAAGTAATGTTGCCAAATGTAAATAATGTAGATCTAAGTCTAGTCTAGGATATTTTCGTCTGAATGTCAGAGTTTTAGGCTGTGGACACACTCACAGAACCTAGATCAATTAGATCAATATGAGATGAATTTATGGAACTGTAGATGTGTTTCTCTACAAGGGTGAGAAGTGAGGCTGGTTGATAGCTTATGTAAATCGCATATTGTCTTACAGATATCTAACTTTGTAGAGAAACATTCTCCAGTTCAATGTTGTTAGTAAAGGCCTAATTCCATTGTAAATGTCCCGTGTGTTCACAGCTCTAGCATAAACTATTGTAAAAGAAGTAGTAAAAGTTAGATTGTGTAGTGTTTAGACACTCTTTAGACATTACGTTGATGTCAATACGTCGTGTCGTGTTTAGTCGAATAACGAATGTCTTAATGGCCATGTTTATCATTTATTTTTTATTTTAAATTAACAAACGTGAACGTCTGTTGAAATTTGATGTATTAAAATATATTTTCTAGACAAACAATATGTTTTATTTAAAGTCTATTGACCTCGATTGGCTGCCATCCAAAAATACTAAAATACCTAGCTATCTTCAACAGCTTTTACGCTTTGTGGTAATAAGAAAAAACACATGTAAAGTATACAAATGCTGATTCTTTATTATAATCCTTCACTGTACAATAGTATCGGGTAGCGTGTGTGGCGCCAGAGCTCACGACTCGACGCCGCGTACACAAACTAGTTTTATTTACTCAGAATTTGACTATATGTACATCGGCAGCGCGGACCCGCCGTGAGCCGCCGGCGAGACTATTGCGGGCAGCAGTCGTATCTCATATCTCAGATTCAATCAATAATACAAATTAATACATTATCATACTCTGCTAGCTGGTGTAGTACGGGTGAAGGTTAACTTTAGCCTATAACAAAAGTATTCCTAATATCGGTACTGATTTAATAGTTAACAATTACAGAAAGGTAATGTCACAAGTCTCGTTTTGCGTTGAACAGTTTGGGTACGGCAGGGCAAACTAAAGTTATCGGCGCGTACTCGGTGCACCACAGGTCACGGCGACACTGTCATGTTCCCTCACACCGCAGTAGCTGCGACGGCGGCGGCTAGGACGAGGGCGAGGGGCTGGGCGGGCTCGGCGCCTCGTCGGCCGCCGCGCGGCTGGCGGACGCGCGCAGGCAGTCGCCGTGCGCCTTGTACTCGATGGCCACCGTGGCGGGCAGCTGCAGGATGCGGCGCAGCGCGTCTCGCACGCGCGCCGCCATCGCCGTGTCCGACGCCGTGCGGTGCCACACCGCCAGGTGGTCGTCCTGCGACAACCGACCCTCGCATTACTACACTCACATTTATTGCATTTGCTTCAATGTCATCAGTGCAAGCTGCTTACCTGGAACCGTACGGATAGTACAACGCCACAAAGCTCCGGGCCGACCATGAACTGCTCGCCCAACATTGCCATACACAAATCTTCCCATGCCCGACCCGTCTGTGTTTTGCGTAGCCGCACAACCTGAAACAAGCACAAAACAATTTTAGGTACTACAGTTCAAGGTCTTCTAGACAAAATTATTTTTATCCAACAGCAAAGAAGGTTCTCAGTTTGACCTGTATATGTATGCATGTTGGTAGGTTAGTGCGCGATTATCTCGCGATTGGCTGAACCCATATTGATGCAGTATTCAGAAAAGGAGGTTTTAGTATTAAATAACTGACTTCAGAAAAAGAGGGAGTTGAAGTCGGGTATTTTTAAACACAGTTTATGAAAGAAATATTTTTCAAGTATGTTGAATTAGTTTCATAATAGTTGCTCACCCATTTCCCTCCATTGACATTGGCGGGGTCCTCCCACATGGGCTTGATGCCCAGTTTGAAGAGGTGCAGGTCGGACAGCGGCGGCAGCTCCGAGGGCCGCGCCAGGTGCGTGTACAGACCCCACCACTGTTCCACGCTCGCCACCCTACCCACCAAACGTAGCGCCTGCAATTCGACAACAAGAAATGTTATAGATATTCGAAATATTATATAAAATGTTCTAAGTAGTGTGCTGTAACTTATAATAATTATGCAAAAGAATTGCAATTTACCCATTTTGTGGAATTTGCAAACAAGTACATAATTGTTATTATTGGTATGATTATAAAAAACAGTTATTTGTGCACCTCTTTAGATTATATTTCTGTAAGTATACAATTATTGTTACTTCTAATGATCAAACCTATTAAAATAGCAAAGAAGTTATTTCGAAATTAAAATTATTATAAATAGACAATGGTATATGAATTTCATCTACTTATTTGGCGCGTTTTTGCGACGCGTAAAGTTTCGCGCGTCAATTCCCGCTCGAAACAATTTTTTATGTCATGTGATATATGTTGACAAACACACATACCACATAAATACTTAATATAATAATTTGTATTTTAAACTGTCAAACCCCAAGCGGTCACCGGTGACCGCAACCTATTGTTCTATAATTGTGTCTACAAAACCGGTACTCTATGAGTTAAAGGAAAAGTATTATGCACAGTATTATGTAATTAATACTAATTTTAGATTGCTGTTTCTTTTTAGTTTTTACAACTTATTCATTAAACCTCCCATTTCTCATTGAATTGTAACTCCATTGAATATGAAATGGCATCATGCACAGTTGAATGTAGGTTGCTTCAGAAATGTACACAATACACTAGCATAGATAGGAAATAATTGAGTGACAATAGTTGACCTAGTTGAGTGGAAACTAAAGTTGCAGTCTCTGAATAAACAATTCGTTCTTGGAGGCTGAAAATTCTTTTTGAAACGAGTTTAGTATTTCTTTGTGTCCACATAGTGCTATGAAATAAGAATAAGAATTTTATTTGCTCAAACATGTGTGTGCATACAGAATTAAAATAATACAGCATGCAAGATCTTAGAAAAAGTGGCTCACAACAGTGTGCCATTTATCAAGGTGTGCAAATATCTATTATAATAAAAGTAGCCTATCTTGACTTTGTGCATTTTATGAGTGGGAGATACTATAAAAAAACTTAACAAAGATTAAAAAATTCCTCTTTTGTCTTTGAACAAAAGTACATATCTTGATATTACACTTTTGAAACTTCAAAAGTTAGTCTGTACTCTGTACACGAAATAAAAACTTTAATTTGATTTTGCAAAAACTTTAGAATGTTAAATATTTTTATGTAATAGGGAATACAATTTAAAAAGGACCGAAACAAGTAATTTTAGTATATTTATTAGGTTACTACTACCTTCATAAAATTAAGGTCATGCTAATAAATGAAAATCAATAGTGGTATGGTTTATTTAAAGGTTAATAGGGATTAGAAAAGTTCTTAAGTTTGTAATGAAAGTTAAAATAAATTGTCATAAAACAAAGTGAGTGTAAATATTAAAATGTTATTTCTTTGTTTAGTTTCTTATTTGAGAGTAAGGTAGTTATGTGTTTACAATATTATTTATATTCAAGAAGTTATTTCTTTTCCTTTCAAGTAGGTTCAATAGTGGCTACTATTGAACCTACTTGAATACAAACTATACAGGTGTATAAGTTAGACAAAAGTTGGATACTTAGAAAGTAACTTTTTGTCCAATGAAGTATTGAAAACAAAAAGTTTTTGTACCAGTGAGCTACTTACCAACTTTAAAGTACTAAAAATAGTTAAGTAGACCCACCAACTGTGCCATATTGATAAACATATGTAAATTACATACAATTTGCATATTGATACAATTTCTTTTGACTACATTTTGTAGGAAATTGTTTAGTACTTCAAACAAACATTTTAGAAGAGTTATTGTTTATAGCTGTCTGCAGTGGATTAAGTGGTAAAATAGCAGTAAGTTTGACAAATACGCTATAAGTTAAGGCAGGATGGACATCAGCTAGAACTGCTACAAACCTGAACGTAGCCTGAAGGAGAAGTGGACAGCTCGCGCGCGGGAGGACGCCGCGAGAACCACATCCAATAGGAGTACTCGAGCTTGTGCTCGTGCGCCGGCACGGGAGGCGGCGTCGCCTCGTCAGAGTTCCTTTCATCCTCTTCATTGTTACCGTGGTTCTGGTTAACGCCACCACCGTGGCCACCCTGGCCACCTTCCCCAGATCGACGTTCAGGTACGTTTAAATTGTAGAACTTGCACATTTTCCTCTCTGTCATGTTATTTTAAATGAACTAACATGTTTCACCAACGGCCTAACCTAGGACACGTTGCTTTAATTGAACTATCTGAATGTATACAAAACTCAAATTATGATTCTATAATTACACAACACAATTAAGAGATAGGTACACCTAAATAATATTTAATAACAGTTATTAAATACGTTTATCTTAAATCAACCTATTCCCTCTTTTACTGTGTATAACCTTTTTCTTTCCGTCATCAAAATTCAAATCTGTCATTTGACAGCATGGGTATCTAACATGCGACCAAATTCTATTGTGTTTATTTGCAATAAAATGAAGACGAAACGATAACTCGATTTCTGTAGAGCGAAAGAGTAAGCAACAGAATGCTCTACTACCATTTTAATTTGATGGTATAATTTAGTCCTAAAAATAAAAAATGCGTTCGTCATCGGAAAGTTTGAAACATTATTAATTTTAGACATCACTGCATTATATAGGTCTAAAAATTGAATTATATTTTTAATACTTTTTAATAAAATGTATCGTGTTAAAATTATTTTTATCCAATTTTCTCATTTTGTAATTTTTTTATTTCGCAAAAGCGTAGGGTTTGTTTGATGGTTTGGCTAGTGTCAATCTGTGTCAAAGTCAATCTGTCAAAGATTGTTATTGAAAAAATTGTTTAACGTCAAATAGTCGGCGGGACAAACGAAAACATTCGCAAAATTAAAGAAAAATAAGTAAATATATCTTTTTGCCGATTAAAAGTTTCTTAAAATCTATAATTCTAGTCATAAGTGCTTACTTGGTTAAGTTATTAACAACTGTTTATGCTTGTTAACTTGAAAATCTGTGTTGTGTTGAAGTGCACTAGTTTTGGACAGAGACATGGACAAAACTGAATCTATCGGTAGAAGTAGTATAGAAGGGTGCATGAACATCGATTTGATGCGATCGCTGGTGAAGCAGTATTCTGAATTGGTAAACGGATTATTATTTTTCGAGTTAATGTAGATCTACACAATTGAGTAGGTTATATATCTAACTTGTTAAAATTGTAAACTGTTATACAGTATGACTTGTGTATATAGTGCGTAACATATGTTTTACAGGGCTGTGTAGACTGTATGGATGGTACACTGCAAAATCTAACTATTGCCATAGCAATATGTTAAAGTAGTAGTTTAGTATATCAGGGTATTTTTCCTGTTATACATTTGAAATTTACTATAATATTAAGATTCCAACTTCATTGTTTACTATGTAATAATTCATTAATTAATTTTGATATCCTTCCCTCTTATTTGCTATACTATAACTGTGTATCCAAAGTTGAATATAGTCAAAAATCAAAAAGTCAAAGCATTTATTTCAATGAAAACATAATCTGGTACTTTGAAACGTCAACAAATACAAAATAAATAATAGTCTGTCAGTCAGTCCGTCAGTGAAGCTAGGTGAAGCTAGGTGCTCATTACAAAATGTAGATTCGAATGGAGAAGAACAAGAAGAAACTCCATTCATTACTCTTTTAAAAAAAGTATGTTCTACAATGTCTCTGATACATGTTCCTATACTGTATGTATATGTAACAGTATAGTACAAAGTAATTAATAAAAAAAACAATGTGTAGATTACAAATATGATTGAATTTTATTCATATTATATATTTTAGGGACAATGGACCAGTGCCCTGTTCTGGGCGGATGCTGCAGCAGCTGCGGCAGGTGGAGGGCTGGACTCTGCCAGCGGTGACGATGTTTGGCTGCTGGCCAGTGCCATGCTGGCCAGGGGAGAACTACATAGAGCTGCACATGCAGTCACCTCTAGAGGACTTCATAGGTAAAATGAAAAAAATAATGATCTTTCATAGCAGACATCAACAGCCTAAAAAGTGGCCACTGTTGACCAAAGGCCTATTATCACGCGGAGATTTTATATAATAATAATAGTTGGCTTATTACAATGTGCAGTGTTACTGGATTTGATAAACAGGAGACATATTTTGTTTTTTGCATATTTACCAATATGTATCATAACTAATACACTTCTGTATATCCCTAGACGTCATTTACTATGCCTGGGCGTAGCAATGCGCGCGTTCCTGGCGGCGCGGGAGCCGGCCACCGCCCTCAACTTGATGGATGAGTGCGATCCCATGCTGCTTGAACCCAGGAACACTGACCAGACACATAATGTAAGGAATGTCTTCTTTTTTATATTCCTCATAAGATTAAAGAGAGATTAAATTTATGTTACACCTACTTTTCTCCAAAATCTCTTGTTTGGTAGTTGAGTTTGTTTAATGTTTAACTGAAGATATGATTGGAATGGACAAGTTAGTCCGAATCTGAAAATAAAACTGAAACAAACTTGGATATGATGTTACTTAGGGCTAAACATACAGTCTAATTTACAAATATTGTACATTAAAATGCTATCTTGAATCTTAACCTCTCTAGTGCCTGTCAAGTAAAACATGGATTGTGTATGACAAGACCCACATAATATGTAGAGGACAACAATGACTTACATAGTAGGTAGGGAAGACTTAAGTTTAAAACATGTCAGCAATGGATTATTACAGGCTATTGATTTGTTGATATTCCAGCGCGCGCTAGCAGGAGTGCTAGTATGGCAGGCGCGCGCGCTGACGGCGCTGGAGCGGCGCGAGGCGGCGGCCGAGGCCCTGGCCGCCGCGCTGCGGGCAGACTGCGCGCACTACGAGGCACTCGACCTGCTCCTGGAACAACATGCACTCACCCCGCACCAGGGTATGTCGTGGGGCCGGTTTATGATGTACTCGTACTCTGTCTTAAAGATAAAGACAATATAAACAATATGTATTTCGATTTTAAACATTCTTCAATACTCCTTATTATCCCGTTGTTTTTGACTCGGGAAAAATATATATTGCTTATAATAATGTTTTTATTAGGGCTTCTTCCTGTTATTCTACTAATATTAAAAATGCCATAATTTGGGAATATTTTCAGCATATTTGGCACACAGATAGAGTAGTATACATCATAGTCTTAAATAAGACATGAGCCACTCTTTCCAGCAAAGTGGGCGCAGTTGTTAGCAAAATCTAGTAAATTAAGTGAAGCGACCTGTGGTTGGTGTTCTGATTGCTTCTTGTAAATTACCATTCCCAGAAGTCGTTTATTCACAAGTCCTTTATGAAGGTAGTATATACAAATTATAGCGGAAGGCACGAATTAAAGTTATTTATTTCTCTGTTATAATATTTGCTTAACGACTATTTACAACAAATTATTCAATAATAATAATATTGAACGTGAAGCATGCACAAGCTGAAGCGAAAGCATAGTGTGTGGAAGCCACGTCATCGACTACCATTTATACCAGAAGTAGCCATGTTAGAAGAGGGCGTTGCTTGCGCACGAAGGATTCAACGACCACCTAGAAAATACGCGGAGCTGCGCATCATACGACGTCGTCTGACGTCACGCCACGTGTGACGTAGTAGTGGCGTCATTTTTCGAGGTGCCACTGCTCATCAGCTGCAGTGCTTTAAGTAGCGGATATGATCGCTACATAAGTATTTCTGAATATGTTCCAGAGAGTGAGTTGATAGAGTCGCTCCCCATCAGCTCCCAGCTGAGCGCGGCGGAGGGCGCCCTGCTCCGCGCCGCGTACAGGCAGCGCCTGCACCGGTACTCGCCCGCTCCCGTCGCACTGCCGCCGCCCGATACTGACTGCCCCGTATGTATACTTCTATCATTTCCACTGACATAAAGCAGGTATTTTTTTAAGCTAGGACAGGCCATTAAACGGACCACGTGATGTTAAGCAATCGTATTTCAAGATTGGGGGATTTAGAAATAGGAAACGATTGAAGCTGAGAGGCGATCCATTATCCTCGTTTGCCGCCCATAGTCTTTACGAAAGCAAACTAACGTGTATTAATATTTCAGATAACAGCGGAGGCGGAGGCGGTGGGAGGTCGTATGATGGAGGCGGCACAGAGCCGGGCGCGGCGCCTGGCCGCCGCCTGCCGCTGGACGCACGCCCTGCGCGCGCTCGATACTGTCGACCCCTGGTGCTGTGTCGAGGTAACTCATTCGATTCCAATATTATGTCAAAAGCCTTTACAATGGGTATGATGTATTATTATTTCACAGGTTTTTACAAATAAATAATCTTTGTCTTTGTCTTTTGACCTGCCGTTTGTATTCGAAAGTCAAATGTCGTCTATAGACCAATGTTCAATCAAAACACAGTTAAATACATACACTCCTATACACTGTACGGGCCTTATCGTTGCGCGTCCATACCACTTTGAAGACGACACACATTCATAAATATAATGCAGGCTCGAAGGACCACATAGACTTTAACACTACTACACTTTAAGGTGTAACATTATACCTCTACGTAACTATGTATGTATGGGTTTTAATTCTAATTTGTTATAAAAGACTTGCATTGTTTCAATCAATCTGGTCAACGTGGATAGAAAACGTTTAAGTTGCTTGTATGTGCAAAAGTTGCCACCCTGCTCGATAGATGGCGTTCTACAATACAAGCGTTGTATTGAATCGCGCTATGGTTTCGTTACGAGCGTTTGGTTTGGAGAACTTTGTACGGTACTATTTATGATGAGGAACAAAGTTAACCTTTAATTATCAATTTTTGATATAAACTCATGGTCGAGAGACTAGTGAGTTTTATGAGAGATGAGAAATAGAGATGATGACGGAGTATACGAAACAAAAATCTGTTTGTTTACTGCGTCAGTTAGGTAATAAAAAGTATTAGACATGTATGTTTTTATTTCGTCGTATAAGAAAACAATACTAAGACAAAACGAATCACAGTTTCGAAGTCGGCGCTAGCTACGTCATTTCTACGTATAAAACGTACCTAGAAGTGACGTCACCTGATATTTTAAATCAATGTATCGTCAAAAGTATTTGTTTCCATAAGAAAATTAAAAAAAAAAACATGCCTATATTTTTTTAATAACGTACTATACTGGTATAACGTGTCTAACTAAAAAA